GCACTATGACTACATTGAAACAAGCCACAATTAAATGTAAACATCCAAACAACGTATGGATTAGGGCTGATGCAATGACTGTACTCCATGCAGTGGCAGAAATGTGTCAACATGGAAGAGATTTAGCTTTTTTGTGTGTGTGTGTGTGTGTGTGTCCTATTCAATGAAAAACACCTGCGGGCAGCTTTTTCAGCCAGATCAACTAATAATACAGAAATTTCAAAAACACACTTTTCAATAGCATATTTCAAATCAGCAACAAAATCTGACATGAACTGTCCTGTCACGTCTGTCTGGAGTTTTTCATATTTCAGGTTCTAAGTTAAAGTTCTGTCTTGACATTTACACCATAGAAATGTATAAGTAGATGACACATTCGACAGCTCCAGACACGTTGATGCGCCCGCCATCTTGGAACGGTCATGTGTCGTCACTCACAGAAAAAAAAAAAATAAATTCACAGAAAAAAAGGAATTTAAATTCTCAAAGAAATAGGCTTATGTATAGCGGCCCATAAAAACAGACGCTAATAATGAATCTACCTATACATATCTATGGTTTACCCTCCACCATAAGGTGACCAGACGTGCCAATTCCTGGGGACATGTTCAGCACAGGATTTCTAAATTGCCTAAAATAACCAGGTATTGGTTGTTTGCGTTCCTCCGATTGATCGTTGTATGACACAAAAGTACCGTGAGAGCGATTCGAAAGCATGGAGCCGTCCGCTCTGCTCTATAGCTCTCGCAGTACTTTGATGTCATACAATGATCGATCGGCACAGCGCAAACAACCAACACCTGGTTATTTTAGGCAATTTAGAAATTCTCTGCTGAACGTGTCCCCGGGATGTGGCATGTCTGGTCACCTTACTCCACCATTTTCAAATAATAAAAGGAAAACTTTTTATGCATTTTGACAATTCACTTACTTGGCAGTGGTGTTTTGAAAGCCTGAAGATGCGAACTTTAAAAAACGGATTACAAAGGGCAAGTTTTTGAAAATGTTACCATCTATTTTCATCCAAAAACTGCAAAAACGGTGGCATCATGAGCATTACATGTTCACTTGGTGTTTCTTTACAAAGTGATATCGCCAACTACTGGCCTGGCATGCATAATACAACATTTTAAGTTGTAAAATGTTTCCCATGTGAACGGGAAATGTTTTGACAACATTGATGTCTGTATGTGAAAAATGCAAAGGAAAAACTTTTCTGATTTCAGTATATTGTTGTCGTATAGATAGACTTGCTCATGGTTTCCCACTTTTTTCTTGTCATGTTCTCATTGGTACATTGTCTTATCTTGTTATTTATTCTGACTTCTCATTGGTTCACAGTCATTGTCTTGATGTCTTGTTTAGTAGTTCTGTTCTGTCATTGGTGTTTTTTATTTTTTATTTTTTTAAACCATAGTCTTGTATTTAAGCCGTAATGTTTGCCATCTTTCCTAGTTGTGTATTGAAGTACTTTACACTATTCCATCTTCGAGGTCATTGTTCATTGTCAAGTTAAGCATAGTTCATGGTTATACAGTATTTTGTTTAATGTGGATTAAGTTCATTATTTATGTTTTTGGATCATCACCGTTGTAAAAAAAATTGCGCTTGGGTTCTCTGCGTCGTTGTGTGCTTCAATCCAGCTATGTTAAATGTCCCAATAAAGTTGTCTGTTGTGCTTAAATAGTGTTAAAAGGCATATATTTCAGGTTGGTCCAGTCTTAAATTTTGCCATATTGTACTTTGCATTTATTCCCATTTATAGTAATGAACATAGTAGTCTCCCATTCATAGTAGTGAACTTAATGGTTGACAATATTATTTGGAGAATAACCAAAATGAAAGAATGTATCTTTCATTCATAATGTGTTTAATTGAGGAGTTTATCCAGAATAGAAAAACAAAGGCCAAAAAGCTTATTACAAATACACTGTTTTTCCGTATATACATCATTTTTCTTTGAATGTCCAGGAAAAAAAGCAGTGATGTTAAATTACTCATAGCATGATGTAAGATTTTGGTCATACCGCCTACCCCATTACTGTAGGAATTTATTCATCCATTTTGAATCTGTACTATTCTAAGTCAAACAGAACACATACAGCAAGACATGGTGCAGGACCTATTCCCCCCACCAGTTAACTAGTGTTTCTTTCCACCTGCCATGTCTACCTGGGTGCAGTGCACAGCAAGATAATAATGGCAAGACAGGCGCAATTTGCGTCTGCATCAGACTGGGAGCAGAAAGCTGCCACCCAGCCTGCGAGTCTCATCATCTGAGCATCATTAAAACGGGCCATGAGAAAAGCAGCTCAACGTGGCTCCAGCAAGCGCGGGAACCCTGCTGCTGAGGTGATGCGGTTCTGACGAGACGTCAGGAGAGCACGACAGCATGGACTGCGGAGCAGTCCCACATGTTGTGAGCTCTCTGTTGCTTCATTAATGGAGAAATGCTTTTCTTGAAAGCTGCAGCGCAGCATTGTGTGTGTTAATCAATACGGTTCACTTCTGCCTCATCCACCTTCGCAGTCAACAGTTCAAGGCCCAGTCAGCATCACTCATGAGGTTTATTTGGTTACTGTTCTCCTTCTGCCCCAGCCCACATGTTAATCATATTAAGTAGTGAATATTGCTTAATTAAAAACCATAGGCAATCTGTTGAGCATAAAAACGTTTACTCAGAGGTGGATCCCCCGAGGGCTGAAGAATATATTTATATTCCATGTTTCAATGGATCACAGTCAGCTTTATTTATTAGTATAATCAATTTGCATCATGACCATCATGATCACTACCACTATCCTCATCTCAATCTTCACTATCATCATCATCCTCACAAAATCACTAGTAAGTAAAGCTTTATTTATATAGCAACTATAAAAAGTGTTTATAAATGTTTAATTAAATATGTAAATGATACACCTCCAGACTTGCTCACCAGTATTCAAAATAGTTTTTAAACTTATCACTAACACAACCATCATTTGCATCTGCACCATCATTACCATCATCATCGCCACAACTATCATCAACACCAACAGTATCTCCATTACTACCATCACTATCATCAAAACAATCAATGCTCTCATGATTACCACCATCACATCTATCATCACCAGTAGTATTTTCATTACCACCACTACTATCATTACCATCATCAACATAATCAATCATTATCATCATCATCATCATCATCATCACCACCACCACCAAAGCTATCATAATCAACACAGTTATTATCATAACCAACAGTACTATCATTACCACTATCATTACAACATCAACACTGTAATGGTTACCATCACATCTGTCATCACTAGTAGTATCTTCATTGCCACCACCACTATAATCACCTCCATCAACATAACCAATCACTATCTGTATTGTCATCATCATCATCATCGTCATCATAATCATCATCATCACCATCATCACTAATGCTATCATAATCAATGCAGCTATTATCATAAGCATCAGTATTATCTTTACCACTATCATTACCACATCAGCATCATCAACACTCTCATGATTACAACCATCACATGTATCATCACCGGCAGTATCTTCATTACCACCATCACTATCACTACCACCGTCAACATATTCAGTCACCATCATCATTACCACCACTGTCATCATCACCACAACCAATATTATCATAACCAACATAACTATTATCAGCACCAACAATATCATCATTACCACTATCATTACCACACCAACACCATCAACACTATCATGTTTACCACCATAATCACTACCACTATCATTTCCACAATCAACATATCATCATTACCATCATCCTCACCAATACTGTCAAATTCAACACAAATATTACCATCACCAACAGTATCATCATTACCAATATCAATACCACTTCAGCATCATCAACACAACTCTCATTGCCAGCAGTATCTTCATTACCATCATTATCAATATTATCATTGTCACCAGTATCATCAATACCACCACTTTGACAATCCTCACTATCATCACCTCCACCATCATCTTTATCATCTTACCACGCTCTGAGTTTAAGGATTGAAGCACATTTGGTAAAGCAACACCTCACATGCTTATATTTAGAATGTGAGTTATCATTTTGATTTTTGCCTCCTGTTCAGTGTGGGAATGAATGCGGTTTCTGGATGTAACTTGAACAGTTGTGCAGTATGTGAGTCATAGCATGCTTGGGTAACGAGTGCAGTAGTCTGTGGATATGTTCGGAATTTAAAACCAGATTTGTGTCCTCAGGATCAAAGCTTACACTGAGCCTGCGGTCTCACAGAGAGAGTGGGGAGAAGAGGGAGAGAGAGAAAGAAAGAGAGCCACTAATAATAATGTTGCTCTATGAGCTTGTGCTCTCTTGGCATGCAGATAACTTGCACTGTGGAGTTACAAGGAGTTATAATTCTGGCATCATGTGGGAAATTGTGGACAGCTTGAACTAATTGCAACTCTCTACTAATTAATGAAACGTTCATAGATAAGCAGAGCTCGCTGCCTGTTTGAGTTAAACACCCTTGGCATTTTCGTAAACATGGTCTCGCCGCAGTATGAACACCCAAACTTTGAATGATGCTGGATGGATCTATTATAAACATTAATACGTCGTAATAGGAAGGTGCGGTTCTCCCATCCGCCGCGTGGTGGCGACATCCCGCAGTTAAGGAGTTCGGCTTCAGTCCTGAGTTATCAGACACTCATACATTGTTGCTCGCAGTACTGAAAGGACACGGACACTGCATTTTTTGGGGAATACATCCAATATACCGGACGGAATATTTCCTCATCGAGTCTCCACTACTTCAGCCCTTACTTTTTTTTTCCAGCAGTGGCTTTATAGTGTCTTTTTTTTTTTAAAAAGCATCCACTTAGAGATACTTCATGACGCGCAGGGATGCAGCGGAATCGTTCCTTTGAACGCAAATGATTGAATTCATCTGAACCCAGTTCAGAAAGGTTTCTGAGATTGAACAATTCTTATTGCCTAACTTTTTGTAAATACATAAATAATCAAAATAATTAATACAAGAAAAAAATGATTGTCATGTGAAGTAGTGCTGTTTATGCAGTTCTTGAACTTTGCTTCATCGGACTTTGCAGCAGTTTATTGGTGCCTGACGCGTACAGACTGATTTATAGACTCCTCCTTATTAAGCGCTGGTTTTGGACGCACGGGAGCGACGCGCTCAGTGTCTCGCATCGCTTTGGGGAAACCGGGACTACGGCGCAACATGTATCCAGCGCGGCGCGGGCGAACGCGTGCTGCGGACTCACAGACGTGTCGGAGCATCATGTCAAGGCGCACGTTAACTCTGAAGTGGAGCGCCGGATGGATTCTGATGTTTTCATTCATCACTAACACTTGGGCGCAAGGTAAGCGTCTCCGATCTTATTGTGGCCCCTGAGACTCCGAGCTCGCGAGTCAGTGATGTGTGGGATTTATGGAAAGAATCCTTACTGAATGCTAATGGAATTCCAGTCATAATTCTACCAATTCCAACATGATCAAACATTAATCCTGTTAGAATCAAAATGAGCATACCGGTTAAGCTGAAATATCCAGATTGTTTTCACGATTTCAACTTATCCAGATATTAAGGTCACTTCAAAATTATAATAGCAATACTATCAGTATTCCGTTGAGAATAAAGCATTCATTATTTAACAGTGAAGTTGATATTTGCTGCTGTGAATTTGCTGGTGATAAACATTTATCTCAGCTAAATTGTGATCAGATCATAGAAAATGACATAAATACCAAAATGCAATAATGGATGCAATTTAATTCTCATTTCAATTACCATGCTGTCTTGCCCATTTGGTAGACGGAAATACAATGAATCTGCTCACTATTTGGCCAATTTGAGATAATCGGCTAAGAACTGTGTACTGTTGTCAGATTAGCAGTAATGGCCATTCCACAATGTCAGTTCTTAAAGTTCAACATCTACAGAGAGCCTTGTGAAAGGATAATGCACATTATCTATATATATTTTTATTTTTATTTTTTTTAGTAAACTAATGAATTAAATACTTACTGTATTGATTATTTTGAGTAAAAGTTGTATAAAGTTATTGTGAAAAATTCAGCTTATTATATATATGTACATATGCATGTATTTCAAGAAAAGTAAATGAATATAGTCACGTTCTGGATTGAAACGACATTTGCTGAGCTGAACATCCCTAAAGGGATCCACAATTATAGCAATTAATGATCATAAATAAGCCAAATAAATAAAATAAAGCATATGTGCAAGAGAGACAATATGTTGATTTAAATTGACTTGTTGAGCAACTTAATAAATATACATGGCTAACTAAATAAATAAAGAACTAAATTAATATAATTGCATCAATCTGCTATTCATCTCCCTGATTGTCATACCATTGCTCATTCGTCCAGTTCGCTCCTGAGGGTATTTTACCTTTTGACAAGGTGTTCTGCATTGTCCACGGGGTGCATTTCTCATCTATTAGCTGCTGTAAAAATGGCCTCGGCATCAGCAGGCAGATGGCTGATATACAGCCCCGTGATCCATCCTGGTTGACAGATTTTAAAGCACTGGCACTGGTGATTCATTCACTGTGAAGAGACACGGATAGGCCGAGGTGCATCTGATAGTTACAATGCCCTAAGCATTGGAGTGCTAAAAGCGGCATAATCCTTGAGCATGTCAGCCTTTGAACAGGCCACATTGGGGTATAAACAACCCCCTATCTTATCTATGAAGCCTTCAGCCGTCCCCTATTATGCATGGCACAGTGTTGCTGACACTTATTTGCATCTTGTCATGGAGCATACGTATACTCTAGCGTGCTATAGACAAGGTCTGTCCGATGTTTGTTTAGAGCTGTTGAGGGCAGCTTTGTTTTTCCTCGTATTGATCAGATCCCTGTTTTCATCCTTAAGTGTACTTTCAATGCCCTTGGACAGCTTTAAGGGAGCTTAGCGGTGACTAAAAGGAAACCCAGCACTTTGGTCAATGGATAGAAAAAGCTCTCTGAACCTTTTTCACCTCAAGTCTTTCTCTGGTGATCAATTGCTTGGCTCCACTTGAAGCTGCCAGACCTTGCAGCCCCAAACGACCAAACGGGTACCTGTCACAGAGGGTGGCAAGAAGAAGCAGCAGCAAGTCGGAGGCTCTTTCCTTCACGGAGGGCGGCATTAACCACCATTGTGGAGCGACGAACCTCTGATGCCCAACGTTTCCCCCACGGGGGCCTCTGTTTTTGTTCTGAAGCTTCCTGCTAATGAGTATCAGCATGACTGGCGTGCAGGGTACGGCAGAATGGGATCAGTAATCCTTGCGGAGGGTGGGGAACATGGAGTATTCCGTAAATTAGGAGGGCTCAGAAGCTGAAGAGGTCTCTGGGGAAGTGGAGGTGTCATGTGCTTGTTTTTCCATCCGAAGGCTGAATATGTTTCTCGTGCTGCGTATAATAGCGATCTGGGGCTCTAATTCCACCGGGATACCTGATAGAGTCCGCAAAAGAGACGACTCCAACAGAGTGACACTCATTTTGCGCTCATTGAAAAGCAGAAACCCCCTTCGTGAGGCTGACCGCCTTTGGAGAGTGCTGCAATTAAACCAGTGCACAAATACCTTTCGAACACTGGAGGAAAAGCATAGAAATGCCCCAGAACATTTGTGTGTGTGTGGACAGTTTATTCCTTGGATTTTCAACTAATCCCGACTGTTGTATCGCATTTTCGAAACAATGTCTTAGTGGCACTTTGTTGCATCCTATGACAGCTGTCAGCCATCTTTAAATCTTCTGATTATATTTGATAATCCTCCATGCTTACAAAAATGATTTCGGGTGGAATCCACATTAAAACTGCCTGCTCTGTTGTTTAAGCGGGATAATGTGTGCTCGCCAGAGGCGGACAAAGTACTTAACTCCATTACTTGAGTGAAAGTACAGATAAACTGTCTGAAAAAAATACAGTTTTTAGAGAAGAAAGAAATCACCCACTGACTTTCAAAGTTGCTAACGACTTTCTACTTCGAGGATCTTGATAGAAATGTAGTGAAGTGAAAAGTACAATATTTGTCTTTCAAATGTAGTGAAGTTAAAGTCATAAGTTTCCTGAAAAAATAATACTCAAGTAAAGTACAGATACTCAAAAAGTGTACTTAAGTACAATACTCAAGTAAATGTACTTAGTTACTGTCCGCCTCTGGTGCTCGCAGGCATATGTCAAGATGCCAAGCGCATTTCATTCATACACGTCAACAGAGTCACGCAAATCTGACCCATTTGCCTTAAAAGCTCCAGGAAATTCGAGCCGCAGTCGCGGTAGTTCAAATTCACCACCATGCGGATGTTCCCCTCTTTGGAGGGCACCAGTAAAAGCTTGTTCCCATATGAACACATGGGACTCGAGCGCTGTTGTTTGATGTCCCAGATGGGCCATAATGAGCATGGAAGACCGCAACTCCCTAGATGCCCTGTCATAATTATGCGCCCGTGCACCAGTTGCGGCATATTTATCTGTACGCGCCGTGACACTTATTTAATTAAACGTCTTAGAAGCAAGGTCCCGGCATGGCAACAGATGTCTCGTGAATTTTTGACAAAACGCTCGGCGTTTTCTGCGAGCCCTAGCTGCGACAGCCCCAACTCAAGGCCCCTAGGAGAAACAGACTGACAGCCCAGTTCTTGCGATCCCACGCCGTCTAACGCGGTAGCTCTTCCTCTTTCCTCGCCGCTGAAGTCTGCTGATGTTTATTCATACAGCCAGTAGAACGAGGAATGAATAAATGGCTCAAAATGAGGCACGTCGACCTCTGCAAGGCTCCGTCTGTTTTTTCATTATTGGATGTCAAACTTTGCTTCTTATCAGAGCGGTGGCTCACGGTAATCTGCCTCGAGACCAGACGTGATTGTAGCCTAATATTAGAGAACCTGTAGACTGACTGTACGGAGCCTGTATCTTGCTCCAGGAGGCTTTTAAACGTACTCGTTCGAGCGGTAAAACTGTTTGGATAGTGCAGAATGGAAATATAATCAGATAAGTTTAGACTTTAGGGCCCCTGCCTAGTAACTGCTGTGAGCCTGAGGGGGTATGACTGTCAGTGTTTGTGTGAGGCCAACGAGAGTCAGATCTAGCACTGCATCCATGAAATGCAGGCTCCTAATGCAGTCCCCAAGGAGATCCGACTGTTTGCTATCAGTTCGCTGCGAGTGCTCGAAAGAAGCCGTTGCATTATTCTACTGCAAATGAATGTCTTTTTGTATTACGCCACTGGAACGCCATTGTTATCGGGTTTGATTCTGTCTCAGTAGTCAGTTGGTGCAAACGAGGATTAATTCATGAAGCTTTTTTAAATTCTGTGTTAAACCGAATCCTGTGAATATCTACAAACATCATTTGGCTCCGGAATCTCAGGCTGGCTCCAATCAGTAAGGAAGCAGTTTCTGTCAACGACCAGCTGCTGGAAGCCGCTCGCTTGATGATGATAATGAGAACCCTTCAGTTTTGTAATCGCCTGCTCTCTTAATATTGCTACAGTGTTCAGTTTTACTACAACATTATTTATGTCGAGAACATATAAATGTTTCTTCACAGTTGCTGCGGCAAAGTGTTCACGTCACGGCTTCAGTATGTGTCACATCTATTCATTGCACGGCACTGCACGGCACTTAAAGGTAGATGCTGGTTGTGTAAGTTGAAGGTTGATGCTGTGTAGTGTTTACACAATAGTCAATGTTTCTATGAAATACCAGGACTGATCTTCTGGAGTTGACGATGAGTTACATTTTGTGTTGTTCAGTCTTTTTTGCTATTTGAAAGACTATCGCTGCATATGTTTTGCTTTTGAATGCTGGTCTTCATTGTGGGATGTTGATATCAAGGCGTTTTTGTTCAAAAGGCTTGGTTTACAAACTAGACTGGCACCAAACCAGCATAGAAATCATGCTGGTCTAAACTAGACTTGTCTGCAGGGTTTAACTGTGAGAGTCTTGTATCTGACCATCTAAATGGGTATAAGATTAATGACATTGGTGAAATTAGGGACCATTGTTAGTAAAATTAGATATTGTACAAAACTCCAGAATATTTGATGCTGAATGCTGTAAAAAATACACCAGTGTTTCAAAAGAAAAAGAAAAAACCTGGCCTCCTGTCAGACTCACTGTGTGTGCGCTGCTCGATATTTGCATGAGCTATTTATTTCTAGTGTACCCATTGAAAACATATTTTCCACTGTTCTCTTCCAAGTCAAATTAATCACAATTTACTTAAGTGCAATGCGTGGCAGGCTGATAAATTGTTTGCTGTTGGCACAAAGTTGCCTTTGAACCTGAAATAATAAGTGAACAAAACTTTCCAAAAATTATTATAATTTGATCTGGTTTTATTT